CCCGCTCTCCTTCTCCACGCCACATTCCTCACGCGCCACTCTGGCTCCGGCGCTCGTGGCGCTGCTGGGAGCTCAGCTTCCATAATCCCTTACAGTCAGGCCCCGCCCACTCCGCCGCGCTGATTGGCAGGCGGCTCGGCCAATCACGACCCCGCCGACGCCGCCTGGGGGCCTCGCTTCTCCCCCTCCTCCTCGTCCCGACTCCGTGGCTCCGCCCGCCCCGCTACAGTCCGTCTGCTGCCCCTCAGAGAGCCGAAGAACAACCGCTCAAGTCCCAGCCATGGAAGAAGACAACATAATAATGCCTGCTTGACTCGGGGAGAGTTTCCAAGGTAGGTCCGTTGGTTGAAAGTTTCCAAAGCGGCGGGAAGGAGCGAGTTTAGCGACTGGGAGCTGCGCGTGTCCGCTGAGGGGAGCGAAAAGTTTATCCGCCTCACTGGCCCGGACAGGCGGGGACAGGGGAGCTGCTCCACTGTTGTTCACGGTGGGGATGTGTCATGCTGCTAGCCGACATGCTGCTGGTCCCTCTGGAGCCTGTAGAGCCTGAAAACTTTATCAGGAGGTTTTATTCCATCCTTCAGCTCCTTCACTGCGCCTCCGGTCGTTTGCCGTCAGTGTTCTGGGATGAATGTTAATTATACGTCTCATAAAGTCAGGATCAGCCGCTGCTGTGTTTTCAACATTCTTTTTTTTTGTTAGTGAAATCTGTAAAAATAAAATAAAAATCTGGCTTGACTTAAGATTTGTCATAGTTCTGACTTTTGGACTAAAACAAACAAACAGGGTTAAGATGTTGGTTTTAAAATATGTGACTTAAAATATGTCATTATGGTTCTGATTGTTGGACTTATAGAACAAACAACAGCCTGGATTAATAGGGTTGGGGTTAAAATATTGATTTTAAAATATTTGATTTAAAATATGTGATTAGGGTTCTGATTGTTGGAGAGCAGCAGCCCGGTTCTGTGGCAGCCTGCAGCAGGTCCAGCTTGTGTGTGTGTGTGTGTGTGTGTGTGTGTGTGTGTGTGTGTGTGTGTTTTTATACCAACACACAGCTCAGAACGTTTCAGTCACTTGTTCTGCTCCCATCCACAAGCTCAGAATCTACTTGGCAGAGTTTAAATGAAACGGTGGAGCACTTGTTGGTGGTGAACTGGACCCGTCCTGGACCCGTCCTGGACCCGTCCTGCCTGCTCTCCTTCTATATTTACCTGCACGCTCACAGTACAGTTCAGCAGGCCGAGCACTGAATTACAACACGGTGCCCACAGGCAGGCTGATGGACGGAGGGACGGGGTCTCTGCAGATGTGCATTCCTGCAGCCAGCGGCGTGATCAGGCCTTTAAATAGAGCTCAACAGGAATGCAAACAGACCACAGCAGAGAGATGAAGCCTGGGGGCGTCTCAGGAGTGGGACGGTGGGTGGTAGAAGCAAAAGAAAATAAGCAGCCAGCTCTTGCTCCAAATTAGCGCCGTTCGTTGCTCTTTCCTCAGATTCCCCATTAGTGGGAGAAAGTGGGTCAGAGGTCATCCCCTCGCTGCTGGACGCTCAGACATGTTCAGGACGGAGATACCAACAGGGCTCTGGTGCTCTTGCATCAGTTGTTTTGCTCGTATCAGGGGCAGATTCTGAACCCTGCTCACAAATCCTGTGGCGTGACGTCAGCAAGTGTTTATCCACCAGGCCGGCCAGAGACACCGTGAGTGCAGCAGGACCAGAGGCAGCTTCCCTGCTCCAGACACTCAGGAGCTTCTTCATGTTTTCACCCACATGGCCAAGAACACATCGGAGGGAGACAAAGCCAGATCCAGTCACACCGGATTGTAGTTCTACATACAGCCATGGTGCAGGCAGGACGAGTGCGTTTCCAGGCAGCTCCTCGGGCAGCAGCAGGCAGCATTCAGCATCCAGCATTCAGCATCCAGCACGCCACAGGGCAGAGCCACCAAAGAGAATAAAGGCTAGAATACGACAGTGCTTAAAGTATTAAAGGGGTTCTAAACGAGGACAAATATACAACAATATATAACAATATACAACAATATATAACAGTATATAACAATATATAACAATAGGATTCTGGATTTAGCACACGTTGTGGATGAAAGTGAAGGAGGTTTATTAATGGATGATTTATTTATTTATTAATTATTTATTGCGGTTTATTCAGGGATGATTATTGATTAATTTATTATTTATTGAGGTTTATTCAGGGATGATTATTGATTAATTTATTATTTATTGAGGGATGATGTATTAATTAATTGATTATTTATTGAGGTGTGTGTGAAGGTGTTCTACGTGTCCTTCCATTTCCTGTATGCTGTGTGAAGTCATCCCGTCACATCTGGCTGTTCTGGCCCGGCTCACACTCAGTGGCGGGTTCTACCCTGTTCGACTCTCCTTGTGTCAGACAGCGACTTGTCATCGTCGGTTGCTTCAGATGGAAGCGAGGAGCTGGTGTTGGCAGAGCTCCGTGTGCTGGCTGTCAGTGGACCACTAGCAGCCCGTGGTTCTGATGTGCTCCCATGTGGCAGAAAGGCAGAGTTGCATAAGTCCGTCTTGTGATGTTAATGCGTCCCAGGCTTCCAGTGGTTGCCTGTCTGATTGCTGTTTATTTATTTGCTCTAAAATCCACTCAGCTAATTACGTGCAGAGAAAATGGCTAATTGCTGTTTTGTCCAGAGTCGCTCTGCGCTCCGTGGAAAGCGCTGCTGAACACCTGGCCGCCCCCTGGGGCATCTGTGTCCATGACAGCAGGTTTAGTGAGTTGGCTGGTCCCATCAGGACGATGTCTCTCAGTGTGAACATCCAGGCCCAGGATCCTGCTCGGTCCTGCTCGGTCCAGTCCGCTGCAGCGCTCTGAAGCTGAATGTACACAGAGGCAGCCGGCACCTTGCTCCGTACCTCTGGTCGCCCACAGATTAGAGGCTTCTGTCTATAAAAGGACAGCTTGGTGTATTTTTGCTTTACAAACATTGTGACTGTAAAAATAGTGTGAACAAATTTGCTCTTTGGACTTTGGGGGCTGCATGCATATCCAAAAAAGAAAAGGGAAATCCAAGGTGCTCCGAGTGTCTGCATGAGACTCTCTAATAGCTTCTCTTGATAAGACAGAGCGACTGTTCAGTCTGACTTTTTCAGCTTCAGTCCATTTTTCTGTGCAGCTGAATTCAGTTAAACTCACCTCCCAACACCTCACTGGGGATTGAGAGAGGTACTGTTATTCAGCTTGCCTTTTGCTTCGCCTGATTCCCTGCAGACGCTCTCGCTGGCAGTCCGATCCGTGCAGCAGCTCCGGCCAAGAACCACATGCGCACGGCGCATACACACCGACTCCACACGGACCTTGACAGAGCGCTCATGCGTGCACGCATACATGTATGAACGCAAACTCAGACGATGCTCGCATAGTCGCACGCACACGGAGCTCAGCGCGGGCCAAGCCTCCGCACTCGTCTCCACACTCGTATTTCACTAGTCACACACAGAGGGCCCACAGCAATCAAGTTTAAATTAGAGAGAAAGCTGCTCCAAGAAGCTGAGTGCTGCTGCCAGGTCTGAGGCCATGCTGTTCTCAGTGTGTATGTGGAGACTCAGAGGCCCAGAGAGCCAGCTCTTGATATTAAACCAACTTTGAGGGGCCTCTGCTGGGGTATTTCTGCTGCTCTGTGCTGCTGTTCCACCACTTTATCCCCCACTTACACGTCCTCCTCTGTTGTGCATTTGAAGACTTAGTTTGCAAGAAGGAGTGATTAAAGCTCGTCCTGGCTTGTGTGTTCTCCGTGCTTTATGGTTGCCTACGTTAGACAGCGTTCCCACAGCTCCCAGCCACAAGGTCAGCCACTTCAGCGGGCTGTGACCTCGTGGCTTGGAGCTACGAGGCCCGCCGACCGACAAGGGCAGCGATAGTGTGGTGATAGCGAGAGCGACGCTGTGATATCTGCTAGACTGTGAGGATTTTTCCATCTCAGACAGAGTGAGGCCTCGGTCTGTCCTGCTATAAATACCTCCTTGTGGGCGGCTGAATGGTGGCTGAATACATAATGGCGGCTCTGAAAAGGAAACCTATACTCACTCTTTGATAAATGGGACCTGATGATCTAAAGTTTGCTGCAGCATCTGTTTTCAATAGAAGAACGTAGTTTTTGCCACTTATGGCTCCAGTTTTGACGTTGGGGCTGCTTCATGATGTAGGACCACGTAGCTGTGAGGGTTTGGACGTCCTTGAAGATACGTTCAACGTCAGAGGAGTTTAAATCACACACAGTGGCAACAGAGGAAGGAGCTCCATCAGAGGGATGTGGAGAACGCAGGATAAATAGGATGTATGATCAGGATTTCAGCGTTGTCTAGCTGCACATGCTATGTGTGGCTCTTTAGCCTCAGATGAATGGACATGTGTGTAGCCCAGGTGGAGGTTTGTCTGTGTCGCCTTGTTCTACATTCTTGTGCTGAGCTGAATGTAAGGGAAGAAGCTGCCGCAGGATGAAGTTTCAACCTGCACTTGCGTAATGGATCAGTTTTCTCTCTCAGCATGACTTCAAAGTTGTCTTTAGTTCATGGTGGCGCGCGTAGCCATTAGCTTCTTGTTTGGTTGAGCTTCATGAAAGCTTCTGCTTCGCCCTGTTGACATTATCTCGAGAGCACGTTTCCGTTTGTGAACGACGGTAGTGTTTGTGGATTTATAGAGGTTGGCTGTCGTACGGCGGTGTTGGTTTACGAGTGTGAAGGCATTACAAATTATACAGTACCTGTCATAGCGCTGAAAGACAGATAACCCAAATAATTAGCGCCGTTCACTAGCACAGCAGGCTAACATTAAAAAATGAAGATGTTTCTGTTTATGATTGCATAAATGTGCAGGAAATGCTTAAAGGTGTGCGTGTTTGTTCGTGGGAATCCTTATTTCTGCAGCAGCCCACCAGGAATGGACGGTGGTCAGCCACGGCTTTATAAAGCGCGTTACGGGTTTCCTTCAGCAGCGGCAGCTTCTCTGTCAGAGGCATCTGCTTCAGCATTGAGGATACGTGCTGAAGGATGTGCTTCCTTCCTGTGCCTCTGGACATCTACAGGCCTCCACTCAGGAAACTGGGTTTTCTGTTTGGTCGTCACAGAGGATGAACCGTCCAGCTCGTGGGCAGTGCTGCTGGGTGACGGCATATCTCAAGAAATCATGAGCAAGTGTGTGAAAAGTGTGCTGGACATGTCTGACATGTGGCTGCAGGCGTGCCAGTGAAAGCAGCATCTCTGAGGCTCGCCGTAGGAGCTGCAGCTGTCCAGCCACTGTTGACTCTGAAAACAGAGCTAACGGGAGATTATAAGAGCTGG